AACAAAGCTGTTGGATCAGCACGGGTCCCCAAATCCAGCATTTGTAACAACGACCAGCAAGCTGAACCACTAATTCAAGTTACTTACCCCTCCGAACTTCAATTTCCTGGTAATTACTTATTTGACAGGAGTCTGGGTGTGGCGCTTTAGGATAAGCACTGGACTGCTAACCACAAGGTCTGTGGTGAAAACCCACTCCTCGAAAGCCCACAGAGTCGGAACACCTGCATTCCAATACAGTCAGTAGACCTCCAAACTGAGTGTTTTTGCGGCACTTTCCATTTTTATTTGCTATCTTCTTCAGGAGTCCTAGCGCTGTGGGTTAAAGTGGCTGGACTGCAAAGTCGGTCTGAACCTCAAGATCGGTGGCTCAAGCTCCCCAGCGGATCCTTGGAAACACTACACTGGGTCACTATGGGTCAGAAACGACTTGATGGCACTTAACAAGAACAACAAGAATACTCTCCTTCAAAGGAACTCTGGTAGCATTGTGGTTACGACCCCGGCTGCTAACCTCAAAGTCAGCAGTTCGAAACTACCAGCCGCTCTGCGGAAGAAAGATGAGGCTTTCTGCTCCCATAAAGATTTATAGCCTCGGAAACCCTATACAAGGTCATTTATGAGTAGGAACCGACTCCGCGGCACACCACCACCTCCACCTCTCCTCCTTCAGGTTCCTGATGTGCATTAACATTGGACTGCTTAACTGCAAAGTCAGCGGTTCAAACCCACCAGCTGCTTCTATACAAGGTTGCTATGAGTCGGAACCGACTTCATGGCACTTACAACCACCTATTTGAAAAATGATAATAGTAGATCTACCTGCCGGATGGAGTCTGGTGTGGCGCAGTGGATTAATGCGCTGGACTGCAAAGTCGGTTTGAACCACAGTGTCGGCGGTTCAAGCTCACCAGCCACTAACAACAACCACCTGCCATGAGACATAAGGCCTACAATCTCTGTTGTTAAGTGCCTTGGAGTGAGTTCCGACTCATAGTTACCCAGTAGGAGCTCTAGTAGCATAGTGGTTACGAATCAGGCTGCGAACCTTAAGGTCAGTGGTTCGAAACTACCAGGCGCTCCACGGGAGAAAGATAAGGCTTTCTACTCCCGTAAAGATTTACACCCTCGGAAACCCTGTACAGGGTCGCTATGGGTCGGAACCGACTCGACGGCACTTAACAACATAGGGTTTCTGAGGAGCAGCTCATAGGTTTGAACTGCAGACCTTGTGGTTCACAGCCAGGTGCTGATCCTACAGCGCCACACCAGGAGTCTCAACTTCTGTGAACTCGACCTTTTAGCGTCAGCAGCCTTCTAGGTGTTTCTCCAGACCGCTCCTGGCCTGTCTTACGTAAATACATTAATCCAGGCTCTGGAGTTGCTGTAAAGATTTAAAGCCTCCCAGGAGGCCATGCACTTAATAAAGAGCATTGAAACCCCAAACTTTCTAGTTTTGGAAAAAGGACACACGTCGTTCTCCTCCTTTTGCCTTGACTCCCTCTGAGAAATAAGAGTGCAGATACCATATTTGGCTCGTCCTCCCCCGCCCCCCTGCCCTCGTCCGCATCCTGGCACATCTCACCCCGACCCCCAACCCCTGGCCTCCGGGCTCACTGAATCAGTGAAGACAGAGCCGGGAGATTCCCGAGCAGCCAGAGCCAGTTTCTCAATTGAGTCAGCCTCTTAGACAAAACAAAATCTCTGAGCATAAGACTGAGGTCCTGCCTGCCCCAAAACTCTTGTTGCTAGTAAACAGGTTTAACCAAGCCTTTCTTTGTTCAAGAGTCTTCCGTACCTGACAACAGGAAGGACAAAAGCAGAGAAACGCTGTCAAATCCAGAGGCTTTTCTTTAGGTCGGCTGCATTCAGAAGGGGCTGGGAGGTGGGATAGGCCCTATCCAATCACCGGAACCCATAGGCAACCCCCTTTAAACAGGTTGCACAGCTCGGCACCCATCACATTTACCTTGAGTTTGAATGAATAGTTCTCGTTCCTGGAACTGGCCAGTACTACATGATAGTGGGGAATAGGATTAAGCATTGACTGTACATTTGTGGGGGTTTTTTAAAGGCTTTGGCGGCTTTTGATACATTTTGATGCTGAGAGCCGAGAAGGGAGAAGGGAGGCAAAATCGCGGGGCAACACTACCTGTGCACATCTCTACCTCTGGAGGTTTCGCGCCAAGTGACTGGATTCGGTTGCAAAAGGGGGAGTCAGGGTTGAAAAGGCACGCCCGGAATGTTACCAAGCATTCAGGTCTATCCTCTTTTCAGAGAAACAACGGCGGGCACTCACGTTTCGCCCTCTGCGGGAGGTTATTTGTTCCCAAGCAATCAACTCCTCCCGCTGTCGAGGGCGAGAGTCAGAAAGGAAAAGGAGTGGGGCATGTGCAGGGTTGGGAATGGAGGGTGCAACCGATACCCAATGGGGCCGAGATGGTGTGACAAGGATTCCGGAAGTCACCCGGGCGGCCGTGGTAGGCGCCGCCAGGAGGTAAACGAGGCCTGCCAACGCTGGACAGTGCTCGCAGCGAGGAGACTCCCGCGCGTCCCCTAGCGCCCCCTGGAGGCGAGCAGGACTGCGCCGGCTACTGAAACAATGCCTCTGGCCGCGCGGGCCTGCAGGTATCCAGGCTCCCTGCTGCTTTTGGGTGTGCAGTCGCATTCGGCCTGAAATTAGTTCGATTCGCTTTGGGCTTTCGCGCAAGGGCAGCAGGGAGGTGAAGGTGACGCGAGGGAGAGCGCTGGAGCTGAGGGCGATGAAGGCGAAGAGAACGCGTCCCACTCCCAGACCCAGTTCCCAGGATCTCAGAGCTCAAGCTCTGCTGAGCTGTTTAGTTCAATGTGCTTCCGTTCCATTTTGAGTTTATTTTACAAGTAGTTTGTGTTTAGGGAGGGATGGAAATTTTAGACCTCTTTGTATTTTCGTTAGAAATGAAAAGGCTCAGGACCAGTTAGGCGTTACAACGGCCTTTTGCAACACACGGACCTTCCGGAACAGTACACTGGCGACAAGAAAGGGAAGATGGAAGATGAGCCATTAGAGACCCAGATTCTTGGAATTCAGGTGTGTGACGCTGTAGGATAAGTACTGGAGTGCTAACCACAAGGTCAGCGGTTTAACCTTGGAAACCTTATACAGGGTCACTGTGAGTCGGAACCCACTCCACAGCACTTAATAACAACACTCCGTACTAATGGTGATTTTCATTGCATGTTTATGGCCAGAAAGGCGTAGGCGACAACTCTGAGTGGGCTTTTGCTGCTCACGCTTTAACCCCCTCCTCTCAAAACAGCAGAATCACCAAGCAAGCGGATGATCTGGGACTGAGCCGAGGCCCAGGCATCTTCCGGAAGAAGAGAAAACGGAAAGCCGCGAATTTAGCTTGATGATCTTAAGTGGCGGGGAAGGAATAACAATGCGCCTACCTTACATATGAAAGAACCTTGACGGGGTGAGTCTTAGGGATTATTTCTTTGGATCTGCTCGGTCACCCATACCGGAGGCTGAAAGGGGAGGAGAACACCTGCCTCTACGGGGGACTTGAAGCAATTAGGGATAAAGAACTTCACACATACACACACACACTTTCCCAATCTAGGCACTTTAGTCCCAATTTCTTGTTGTTAACAGTGTCTTCGAGTTCGTTCGACTCATAACGACCCTGTATAGGGTTTTGAGAAGCGACTGGTGGGTTTGAACCACCAACCTGTGGTTAGCATCCCAGTGCTTATTCTACAGCGCTACACCAGGACACCCGTCCCAGTTTACATCTGTGAATTTACTGTTTGCAATAGTCAGATCCTTAACTTCACTAAAGCAGGGGCCAAGCCTGTTTGTTCACCTCTGTATATTCAGTTCCAGCACGGTGCCCATTAGTATGTGTAGGATGAATGAACCAATTCTGCCAGGACCCGTACTAGTCCTCGTGGATCCGTCCTTCCCAGTCTGTTCACCTGCCACATTCTCTGCCAGTGCCTTAGCCCAGCCACCCGTCTTCTAGGCCGCACCACCTCTGGGGCCCACACTTCAGCTTTCCTGAGTGCCCTGTTACAGTAACTAAAGTGTCCTATGACCCATGATGCTCTTTCCATCCACTAACGGAGGAAAAGTCTCCCCTCCAAAATGTGTGGTTTTGATGAGACTCTCCTAAAGGCTTTCCCACATGGGCATTTTCTTCTTTACACTCCTCCCAACAAAATAATCAGAAGGTTCTATTATTTTTCGTTTACGGTGTAATAGATTTACTCCTACGACTCTGTTTACAATTCTGTTATTTATTTTATTCTTTTTTTAAGAACAAAAACGAGCACCCCGCCTGTGCCAGTGAACCAGGATGCTGAACTGGAAATTCGGGGTGAAACAAGGCTCGCGGAGGCAACCCTGTGCAGACAGGTCCTGGGAGCAAGTCGAGGGTTCAAAGAGTCCGAGGTCTAACGGCTTGCTGCTATTCGGGACACAGTTCCACCCTACAGCCCCAGGTCTCCAGCGTAAACTTCCAGCTGGAGCCAAACAAACCCAGACCCTGTCCCTGCTGGGGGCGGGGTGGATTCCCGCCAGCATTTGGCGCGTAGGCAGCTCGCAGCGTAACCCGCAGCCCGCGTCCCGCATGCTTTGTGGGGGCTCACTGGCGGGGATCGTTTGTCTGTTGTCCAAAATATCGTAGAGAGCGCGCAGCAGCATCTGGGGAGGGGGCGCGGCCAGAATTTCCTTCCAGAAAGCGCGTGAAGGGTATTTTCAACGAAAAACCAAACCAAAAAAGTAGTGACCAACCCTCCTCGGATTACTCTCCAGTGGCCCCTCCCTTCCATCCCCCACCTCTAGATTTGCATAAAAAAGGCCAAGAAAACTCTGCCTGCGCCCCAGCCGCAGCTCACTCTACTCCCCCGGGTCGGAGCCCCCAGGAGTTGCACGCCGGGTTACTGCGCGAAGCTGAGCCGAGAGCACTTTGCTCCGCGCCGTGCTCCTCGCGTTCGGTTCCTTCCAGGCACCCTAAGGTGCGCCGAGCTAAGCGAGCGGGCCCGGGACGAGCTCGGGCTCCGGCTGCCTCGCGCTTCCCCGGCTCCTTCCCGCTGCCCCCCGGGGGTTGCGCGCCCACAATGCCGCAGGGCCCCGGCTCGCTACTTCTGCTAGTCCTCGCCTCGCACTGTTGCCTGCACTCGGTGCGGGGGCTCTTTCTCTTCGGCCAGCCCGATTTCTCTTATAAGCGCAGCAATTGCAAGCCCATCCCGGCTAACCTGCAGCTGTGCCATGGCATCGAGTACCAAAACATGCGGCTGCCCAACCTGCTGGGCCACGAGACTATGAAGGAGGTGCTGGAACAGGCGGGAGCCTGGATCCCGCTAGTCATGAAGCAGTGCCACCCGGACACCAAGAAGTTCCTGTGCTCGCTTTTCGCCCCCGTCTGCCTAGACGACCTGGACGAGACCATTCAGCCGTGCCACTCGCTCTGCGTGCAGGTGAAAGACCGCTGCGCCCCTGTCATGTCCGCCTTCGGCTTCCCCTGGCCCGACATGCTCGAGTGCGACCGCTTTCCCCAGGACAACGACCTCTGCATCCCTCTCGCCAGCAGCGACCACCTCCTTCCGGCCACCGAAGAAGGTAAGCCTCCCTTCTTACTTCCCACCGCGCCCTAGCTCCCACGAGACGCTCTAGAGGATCCGCGTGTGTCCACCGTTTTCCCTTACCTTCTCCGCGGGGCGATCAGGGGTGCTAGTCCCAGTCGCATCAGACAGTTTCCTTGCTCTGGTCTGTCATCGCAACAAGCCTGTACCAAATTTTAGATCCCCTACCCCAAGTCTCTCATAACTTGCCCCACGTTACATCAACTACTCTTCCTTGTTGTTGCTGTTGTTAAGTGCCATCTAGTCAATTCCGACCCATAGCGACCCTGTACAGGGTTTCCGAGGAGCAGCTGGTGAGCTTGAACCGCCGACCTTACAGTTCAAACGGCTTTGCAGTCTGGCACATTAACCCACAGCGCCACACCAGGACTCTTCCTTAGGGATTGTCAAAAAAGTTAATATAAAAAACTGAAAGGAATCTGTTCTTTATAGTTTATGGGGTAGCATTTCTGAGCTTTGGAAGCGATTCTCGGGGGAGCACCCTGGCCAGAGGCTCCTCGGTCACCCTCTTTCCAGCATGTCCTTACCACAGAATTCTAGTCACAGGAGCATTTCGTACAAGCTGGATAACCTGGATGCACAAACAGTTAACTCCTTAAGATATTTTTTGTCCTTAGCCCATTTAGGTTTGTAAATAAAATGAGAACTGGCTGGAGGAGAAATCTAGAAAAGGGCATGTTGAGTAATTTAGTATTGGTTCTAACCGTTTGAGAAAGAAATCTGTCAACAAGGCACAAAGGAATCCTCTTTCCATCACTATCAGCTTTTATTTTAGGAGTGGTTTTACTTAACTGGAGAAAATCATGCAGAAGAGAGTTTCCCAAGTTTTTAGAAAACAGGGAGAGTTCCTGTGCAAAAACCATCAAAGCAATGAAAACCTGATGGGCTCTTGATATTCTTCCTGAAAAGAAACCGTATACAATACATCTGAACTGATTTAGGTCCCCCCTAGGATGGAAAGGGGGCTTCCTAATCCCTTTCAAAGCATTCAACAGCATCTCCCTTTCAATCTCTAATTGTTTTCCTACAGCCATTATTAGTTAAAGAAAATGCAAAGTTGCTTAGCAATCTTTCCTGGCATGCACTTTGCAGTTTCCAAACATCTTATTGGTTAGATTTCTAATTTATTGCAAATGTTCGGCATTTTTCAAACTTTTGTCCAACATATACCAAAAAACAACCAAAGCAGGTTAGTAACATTTTATATATATATTCCTAGCGTAGTGGTTACGAATCGGGCTGCGAACCTTAAGGTTAGCGGTTCGAAACTACCAGCCACTCCGCGGGAGAAAGATGAGGCTTTCTACTCCCGTAAAGATTTACACCCTCGGAAACCCTGTACAGGGTCGCTATGGGTCGGAACCGACTCGACAGCACTTAACAACAACAACAACAGTCCCTAATGAAAATGAAAAGGAGTCCTGGTGTGGCGCTGTGGGTTAATATGTCAAACTGCAAAGCCATCTGAACTGCAAGGTCGGCGGGTCAAGCTCACCAGCTGCTCCTCAGAAACCCAATACAGGGTCACTATGGGTCGGAACCGCCTGGATGGCACTTAACAACAACAAAGAAAATGTTTCTAAAGGCAGTTTTGCTTTTGTTTTTCTTTCTTTCCACTCTAGGTGTCAATGTTATACACTGTACATTTCTTTTTTGAAACTGCATTTTCCTATTCCAAAAATAAAAGTTTATGTTCTTCAGAATTTGCTATTTGTGATTTTTCTAACTTGACTTGATAAATAACTCTATTGTTATTTATCAAGTTAGAAATCCTGCATAGGATTTCAGAGGAGCAGCTGGTAAGTTGGAACCACCAGCTTTGCAGTTCAAACCAACCTTGTAGTCGAGTGCATATCCTACAGCGCCAATTAGAACTCCAACTCTACTAATTACAACATTTTCTGTGAAAAAATTAAATTTCATAACACTAAGAATTTAGCGTAGTGGTTATGAATCAGGCTGCTAACTTCAAGGTCGGTAGTTCGAAACTACCAGTTGTTCCACGGGAGAAAGATGAGGCTTTCTGCTCCCGTAAAGATGTGCAGCCTCGGAAACCCTGTGCAGGGTCACTATGAGTTGGAACCAACTCCATGGTACTTAACAACATATTTAAAAGACACTATTAACAAATTTATAAATGGAAGAAGAGGAAGATGCTTTCTTCTCCCCTCCCACCTCTCTACCTCCCAAAAAAATCAGACTCTTTTGGAAGAACCTTTAATGGGCTCTGTGATCATTGTACTTGTGACCAACTCCTTAGTTTGGTCAGAACCCATAGATGGTTTTGCTCCTACTTTGGTAAGTTTCAGGAAGAGTTTTGGGTGTTTGGGTTTTTAAGAGTTGGAAATAGGTAAAGGAGGTCCAGAAGAACCTGTAACAGTGAGTTAGTGGATCACAATGAAACAAACATTGCTTAACCCATGCACAGACTTGACAGAAAGTACAAGATGATACAGACCAGTTGGAACACACTGTTGAAATTAGTGAAGTGTGTTTCCAAAGTAGAAATAGCCCATGTGTGATCTTTACAACTCTAGCCACCCCTCCAGTCTAGACTTGAAAATGTCTTAAAATGACTCCCTAGGTGCACAGAACTCTTCTGAAGAGCCCAACAGAGGCGGAACTTCACTGGTGGCCTGCAACTGAAAGAGACAGTCTTGAAGCCATATTTGATGATTACCAGTTTTCTGAAATTCCTCAAGGATCTTTGGCTCTGTTGGCGTTTTGTCCTTGGAGAGGCCATAGAAATAACATCTTCAGAGAATCAGTTTGATGAAATGCTGCAACTATTGCTACATACAATTGTATAGCCCATCCATTAATTCCTTTATTATTGAATGGAATTCACCACTTATTAAACACAACATATGGGCATTTTTATTTTGCTCAACCTAAAATGAGAGGCATGGGAGACTTTCTGAGGAACTAGAGATCCTACTTGTATAAATGAGGCCTAGTCATATAGGACAAATGCTACTCTTGCCTATATTGTTGTTGTTAAGTGCTGTCAAGTCAGTTCTGACCCACAGTGGCCCTGTATAGGGCTTCCAAGGAGCAGCTGGTAAGCTTGAACCACTGACCTTGCAATTCAAATGGCTTTTCAGTCTGGCGCATTAACCCACAGCCCCACACCAGGACGCCTTGCCTACATTAGGCCTTAGAATTGTTTACACACGCCACCTGCTGTTTCCTTTTAAACAAACTTACTTAAAGCTGTTTTTTTTTTCACTTTTGTAGCTCCAAAGGTGTGTGAAGCCTGCAAAAATAAAAATGATGATGACAACGACATAATGGAAACTCTTTGTAAAAATGATTTTGGTAAGTAATGCACCACTACCACTTAAAGATTTCACGTTCAAAAGTTTAATCACCAGTAAAACTTAAAGCTACAAATTATTCAGATGTTAGTAGAAAATTGGGTAAAATACAATTGAAGCTTATTTCCCTGAAAGCATCTAATTTGAACTTCCTTCTAGTCACTTGGCTTGTGCACTAGGGATGAAAACATGTAAATATTAGCCCTAGTCAGCCACAAATAAAAATTTACTCTGGTGCCAAATAGAAATATTTTTATATTATGTATAACCAATCATCATCTGCATCTCTATGTTCTACCATTCGTGAATTTATCTAAGATGCTAGTTAATAATATAAGCAGGTTTTCTTAAATTTATTTTTAAAGGTTGGTTAATTGAGAAGACATCTAACATGGGCTTGAAACACCACCATAAAATCATTTTTCAAAGAAGTTATTTAAAAGGGTTTTATGAATAAGCCCAGACACATTAATGACACATTTGCAAATAGTTAAAAAAAAAAAAAAAAAAAAAAAGGAATTTACTTTAATAAGATTCATGGACGATGCCATGATACCTGGGAACAGTAAAGATGTGAGTGATAACATTACCCAGATTTAGGAAGAGTTAAAGCTTTTGTCTGTACAGGATTCCACCAGTGCCTTCTCTACTAAATACAGAACTGTGGGGAGACAAAAAAAACTCCGCCCAAGATCCTATGAGCCACACTTCTTGCTTTCATTCCATTGGAAAGAAAAGTACTTTTGTTGTCATTGTTAGGTGTCATCGAGTCAGTTCCAACACATAGCAACCTTATGCACAACAGAACGAAACACTGCCCAGTCCTGTGCCATCCTCACAATTGTTAAACTTGAGTCCATTACTACCGTCACTGTGCCAATCCATCTCTTTGGAATCTTCCCCTTTTCTGCTAACCCTTCACTCCACAAAGCATGATATCCTTCTCCAGGGTCTGGTCCCTCCTGATAATATCCTGGCTTCTAAGGAGCATTCTGGCTGTACTTCTTCCAACACAGATTTGTAAGTTATTCTGGCAGTCCATAACTCAAATTCATAAGTTCTCCTACCGGTCTTCCTTATTCATTGTTCAACTTTCACATACAAATGTTGTTGTTGTTAAGTGCTGTGGAGTCAGTTCTGACCCATAGCGACCCTCTGTAGGGTTTCTAAGAAACGACTGGTGATGTTGAACCACCAACCTTGCCGTGCAAACCAACTTTGCAGTCTAGCAAACTAACCCACAGTGCCACACCAGGACTCCACATGCATATGAGGCTATTGAAATTACCCTGGCCTGGGTCAGGTGCACCTTAGTCCAAAAACTGACATCTTTGTTCTTGGACATCTTAAAGAGGTCTTGTGTAGCAGATTTGCCTAGTGCAAATTTGATTTGATGTCTTGACTGCTGCCTTCACGAGTGGTAATAGTCCAAACAAAATGAAGTCTTTGTCAATTTATTTATTGGTCCAGTGGTGAGGATTATGGTACACCTTTAAAAAACAGAAGGTTGAACTTATTGGTCAACAGATGTGGTCCCCACTCTGTCAGATGATGATGGACTCTAACAGGCCCATACTCAATAAGGAGCTCTGGTAGTGTAGTGGTTATGAATTGGGCTGCTAATTTCATGGTCAGCAGTTTGAATCTACTAGCCGTTCCATAGGAGAAAGATGAGGCTTTCTGCTCCCAGAAACCCTATACAGAGTCGCTATGAGTCAGAACTAACTCCGTGGTACATAGCCACCACATATTCAGCAAAGTCTTTGAGACTGAAGGAAATCATTCCAGTCCCCACTGTTGAAGAATGTCCCCCTTACTTTCCCTTCCCTTCCCGTTTCCATCCCAGAATCTCAGTCTTGGTCAGATCCTTACAGCCCAAGCCTTTTCCAGGAAATCATCTTATTGGCTGGTCCAGAATAGCCATAGTCAAAGCTTTAGGAAAAGACTTTACGCTGCTAAGAAAGGGTAAAAGAGGGGGCAGCTGTAAGTCCTAACCAATCATTACCCCAGAAGAGTCACCAGTGGGGATGAGAGGGCTATCTGTTCAGACATATACAACACTCTGATTAGCTGAGGATGAGGCACATTACCAGGTGTGGCACTATGGAATAAAGCACTGGACTATAACGTCAGCTTGAACCACAAGGTCAGTGGTTCAAACTCACTAGCTGATCCTTGGAAACCCTATACAAAGTCACTTAGTCAGAACCAACTTGACAGCACTTACCAACAACAAAAACAACTCCCAAATCACCAGAGCTGTACCATAGTTCACAGTGTCCATACTACAAGGCTTGCTTAAGGCCTAGACATTGGTGTTGTTAAGTGTTATCTTGTCAATTCCAACTCATGGCAACCCTGTGTAGGATTTCCAAGGCTGTCAATTTTTTCAGGAGAAGTGAGCTTCATCTTTCTTCCTCAGAGCAGCTAGTGGGCTGAAACTGCCAACCTTGTGGTTGTGCTTATCTTACAAGAGTTACCACATTCCAAGAGCAAAATAGAAAGATATCCTTTTAATCAAATTTGTATAAAATTGCATTTTTATGACAGTTTTTGAGCTTTACACTAGATCTTATATGCATCTCTCTCTGGACTTCTATGAAAAAGTTATTATATCATGGAGCTCCAAAGAAGTTGGATTTAGGGGTCACACACCCTCACACATATTGCTTACTTTCTGTGGATGTCCCATCAGGAGCTGGGCCAAAAAATGATTATGTATGTCAATGTACCTTCATGTTGTCTCTCCTTAGAGGCAGAAAACCTTTCTCAACAATGTGAGGGGCATCACATTCAAGTATTCCATATAGATACGTTACAAGCTTTGTTTTCTGCTTCCCCATACTCATTTTGACCAATAAAGGGATGGTGGGGTGGTAATGGTGGTGGTGGTAGTTGTGTGCTTTGGAGTCCTGTTTTATCTATTACCTATGTTTTTAGATGGGAGGGTAAGTGTAGAAACCAAACCTATTTAGAATTGAATCATTCATGAAAACACCCTTCCCCATCCCTGAAGTAGAGAAATTACAATAATGAAGAATGGCTTCTCACTTCAATGGTGAAAGTACTGGCAAATAAAGAGAGGATCAGAATTGCCTTCTAGTGTCGACACCCTCTTGTTAGACCAAACAGTGGCATCATTTCTGCCCCCTTAACGTATCCTGCATCTCCATTCCAGGGTAAAGGAAAGTTATTTTTGGATTTTGATACCCTGTATTTGGTCCCAGCTGAAAATCCAGGGAAGAAATCCTTGCTTTTCCCCATAGTAAACTTTTGCAAAGTTGTTCATTTAGAAGTAGAGAAAGATGACGAATAAATCTAACCCTATGTCAAAAGTGATGATTTTGCTAATGTCGGGAGCTCAAGAATGTTCCATTTGACCTTGTGAAATCTTACGCATGCCCAAACTGTGCTGTAAATGATGGTTCTAAATCAAACCAAATCCACTGCCATCAGGTTGGTTCCAACTCATAACTATTCTATTCTCTGAGGCTGTAAATCTTTACAGGAACAAAAAGCCTCATCTTTTTTCCTGTAGACTGGCTAGTGGATTTGAACCATCTACCTTTTAACTAGCTGTCCAGTGCTTATCCTGCAGCACCTAGACATTTGTCTTCTATCACCTCCATCTCCTATGCAGAGAACCCAGGAATGTTTGACATTTCTACCTGGTTTTCTATGACTTCAATCTCATAAGCTCTTAGAATTCAGTACTATAGTTTAGATGTTCATCAGATAAAGCCATGGTTGGCCAACTCACAGCATCTTTGACTTACCTGGTTGAGGTTCTCTCATTTCCTGCTTGACTGGAAGACCCATGCTTAGTCAAACTCCCTTGTGGTTAAAGCACTTGGCTGCTCACCAAAAGGTTAGTGGTTCAAATCCACCAGCTGCTCCATGGGAGACTGATATGGCAGTCTCTTTCCAGAACATTCCAGTCTTGGAAACCCTGTGGAACAGTTCTGCTCTGTTTCTATGAGTTGAAATTATCTTGAGGGCAGATATTGTATGGTTTAAATTGGTGTTCGACTTTTTTGAGTGTATGTAAGTGCTTTGAGATTTTCTTTTTTTTATCTCCTATAACTATAGAGTTAAGTCCAACTCAGATGACCATATAGGATAGAGGAGAATAGCCTCATAGGGTCTCCAAGGCTGTGATCTTCATCAAAGTAGACCATTACATCTTGATTCCATGGTGTTTGAACCACCAACCTTTCAGTTAACAAGACCTTAACCACTACTCCACCAGGGCACCTCATAGGTCATTAGTTGTCTCTGTATTTAAGATTCTTCATGTATTAAACTAGAGATGGTCCTTTCCAACCTTAAAACTTGATCCTTTCCCTGCCTTCCAGGAGTCTGAAATTTAATTCCAACATCCATGTTTGTAGGGATTTCTTTCCCAAAGAATGTTGTTCATGACTATCAAATGTGTCTTTTATAGTAAACCACTTTTAGCTTTAAAACTTCTAATGAGTTTACATAATACATTTTGGAAATAGTACCTATATATCTGTAAACACCTTGGCCTTGAACAGGCAAATGATAACATATGAGGATGAAGTATTCAGAAAAACACTTTTACAGCTAAACAAGTTGTACTCTTTTTAAAAAAGTCTTGCTTTTTTTTTTTTTTTTTTTTCTTCCTAGTTACTTTAACAAATCAAATGCAGCTGTATGATCAATTTTCCTTCCCTGTAATCTGTTCTTTAGAAAACAATGATTGTGTAATACAATTTCCTTACAGGTTTGTCCAAAAACCTCTCCAACATAATAAATTGAGTTTAAAGTTTACGGCCACAGAAAGATCATGTTTCACCTAAGAGTCAGGCATTTCTTTTCATGCTGAATTCTCTAATAGGGGAAATCATTTGTTGAGGAGAGTACAAACCATATGCAACCTACGTAAAAACACAAGGACAAGGAAGCCAGAAGAAAAGTTAATTGAGTCCTGCAAAGAAAATGCATTTTGAAAGGACTCAATTCTTTGAGTCTTTAGAAATGGAGCCACCTGCTGCCCTAGTCCTCAACCTCCTACCCACAGCCTCTGACAGTTTCATAGCTTGTCTTACCTCCCCAGGCTGAGTCACTCAAATAGAGAGTGGAGTGCGGAAAACTCTGTATTTATTGTTGTTGTTGTTAGGTGCCATGGAGTCTATTTCAGCTTATAGTGACCCTATGTGACAGTGTAGAACTGCCCCCAGAGGATTTTCTAGATTGTAACTTTTACAGGAGCAAATCACCAGGTCTTTCTCCCACAGAGCTACTTGGTGGATCAGTAACTGAGTGCTTAACTATTACACCATTAGGGTGATTGGTGATTGTGTGCCATCTAGTCAGTTCCAACTCATAGCAATCCTGCATAGGTTTTCTGAGATTATAAATCTTCACAGGAGCAGAAAGCCTCATCTTTCTCCCTCTGAGCTACTGGTGGATTTGAACTGCTGACCTTGCAATTAGTAGCCCAATGTGTAACCCAGTACACTACCAGGGGTCCTTATAGGTACTATAGGATCAGCACTAGACTGCTAGCCAAAAGGTCGGCGGTTCAAACCCACCAGCCGCTCCTCAAACGCTATCCAGGGTCACTATGAGTCAGAACTGACTTGATGGCACTTAACAGCAACAACTTATATGCTATTCTTGTATCATAACTGGTATGATTCTTTCGGCTCTCTCTTGTTTCCATAGCACTGAAAATAAAAGTGAAGGAGATAACTTACATCAACCGAGATACCAAAATTATCCTGGAGACCAAGAGCAAGACCATTTACAAGCTGAACGGCGTGTCCGAAAGGGACCTGAAGAAATCGGTGCTGTGGCTCAAAGACAGCTTGCAGTGTACCTGTGAGGAAATGAATGACATCAACGCTCCCTATCTGGTCATGGGACAGAAGCAAGGTGGGGAGTTAGTGATCACTTCGGTGAAGCGGTGGCAGAAGGGGCAGAGAGAGTTCAAGCGCATCTCTCGCAGCATCCGCAAGCTGCAGTGCTAGTTCTGGTGCCCAGGTTGCTCCTGACCAACCGGCTCCAGAGCTCAGCTGACCATTACCATTCCGGGACTCAGCTCTCATTCCCAAGCATAGTCCCTGAGGCTCCGGCCCCAGCCTGGAGCTCTCCCCCTTGCCTTTTGCACGTTTGCACCCCCCAGCATCTCCTGAGTTATAAAACCCCAGGGATGGATAGCTGTTTTCACCTAAAGAAAAACTTGCCCAAATCTTGTAGACACATTCAAACTAATAAAATCATGAGTATTTTTTATGAGATATTAAAATAGCTCACTTTGAAGCTGTGTTAAATGGATGTAACTGTGACTTGGGTTTGATTTGGGGTTTTTTTTATCCCCTGTTTGGATCAGCTGGTTTCATGCTCACTAAAGTTGTTATAACAAGCAAACTGCTTCATTTTTCTATGTGGTGTGGGTCACAGACCCTGTTGAGATAAAGCTGGCTGTTATCTCAACAGCTGTCTCAGCTCCAGCCTGAGACTTGATGTCTAAGTCTTAAAACAATTCACTAGTCATTTTACACCCTGATTAGGAATTTATAACTGTTTCGTGTATTACATTTCCAGCTACAATACTTCCCATTGAGTTAAAAAATGGCACTTGAACCAATATTCATTCAAATTAAAGGATAAAACATGCATTTTATAATTGACCAGAGTACTTTAAGCTTTGTTTAAAATACTTTTTTTTACTTAATTTTGCAAATTAAACCATTGTAGCTTACCTGTAATATACATAGTAGTTTACCTTCAAAAGTTGTAAAAATATTGCTTTAACCAACACTGTAAATATTTCAGATAAACATTATATTCTTGTATATAAACTTTACATCCTGTTTTACCGATTTCTTGTCTTCTAATTTGTCTTCTTAGTAGAAGGAATTGGGGAGGAGCTGTATTGGACTTTTTGACCACTTCCCTTTTGTAACCCAGCCCAGGCCATGTGCAGTTTTAAGTCTCTTGTTTCTTACATGACTCTACAAGCATCAGCCCAACTATCTCACATCCCATAGATTTCCCCTCTGCTGACTGCCCTCTACTCTAGAAAGGGCTTTTGTTCTCTGGTCCCTTCTCAGCAGTTTAGCTGCAGTTATGCGGCAGCACTAAGGTTCATGAGCTTTATGGGTGTGCTTTTATAATGAGAATGTTAATTTTCTCATTTTAGCTCACATAAAAAGAGAACCATGATTAGTTCAATATAAATTGAAAGTCAGGTGGTAGAAGATGGTTCAAAGGACAAAACAAAACAAAAAACCAGTATTAGGAATGAGAAGGGGATAAGCAAACAAACATCCAGCTATAATGTCCATCTGAACCATTTATTCTGTTATTGCACCTCCACAAAGATTCTATTAGACAAGTGAGGAAACAGGCTCCGAGACGCTACTAAGGGGCAGAGCCCAAACTGAAAATCCTCCCAGACAATGGCGCTATGGGTTAATGAGCCAAACTGTAAAGCGGTTTGAACTGCAAGTTCAGCGGTTCAAGCTCATAGAGGGTCACTATAGGTCGGAACCGACTCAATGGCACACAACAACAATAGTCCTGGCGTGGCACTGTAAGACAAGCACTGGATTGCTAGTTGCAATGTTGGCGGTTCAAACTCACTAGCCACTCTTTGGAACCCCTATACAGGGTTGTTATGTATACAACGGACTCGATGTCACTTAACACAAGTCAACCTGTGGACTCCTGGTATGGTACTATAGGACAAGAACTAGACAAGCAAGGTCAGTGGTTGAAACCCACTAATCAATTCAATGTCAAATAACAAGTCAACCTGTGAGTGAATTATACAAACATGGTTGTTGTTATTAAGTACCGTGGGTTCAGTTCCAACTCATAGTGACCCTAAATAAGGTTTCTGAGGAGCCATTGATTGGTTTGAACCACCAACCAACCTTGTGTGATTCAAACCAACCTTACAGTCCAGTGTTTATCCTACAGCACTACACCAGGACAGCAACTCGTATTCACATAAGGAAATAAAACCATCAGTCAAGAGAGCTGCTGTGGTGAGTCACTGACTTGACTCTGACGCATACATAGCAACCCAGTGTAGACTGAAACTGTGCTAGACTATAAACGTTTATGGGAACACATTGCAAGGTCTTTTCTCCTGTTGAACTACTGATGAGCTCAAACTCCTAGGATCTTAACCATTGCACTACCAGGCTCCTAAAAATAATCAAATACAAAAATATAAAACACAGTACAAATGTGGGTTTGTTGGTAACTCTCCCTTTTTTCATATTTATTTCAAATACAACTCCATAAAGCAATAATCATAAAAGTATTAATGTGCTTATGTTGTTGTTGTGAGGTGCCATCGAGTTAGCACTGACTCATAGCGACCTTATGCACAGCAGAATGAAACAATGTCCGATCCTGGGCCAACCTCACTACAGTTGCCACACTTGAGTCCATCGATGCTGCCACCTGGCCAATCCATCTCGTTGGGGGTCTTCCTCTTTTTCTCTGACCCTCCATCTTACCAAGCATGATATCCTTCTCTAGTGACTGTTCCCTCCTGAAATGTGTTCAATAGTATATAAAAATGTAATTGCTTGACAATAATAGCACAAAGGAGGGAGAGAATGTATAGCAAAGACTTTGTATGCTATTGAAATTTAGTTGGTTTTAATCCAAGCTACATGTTTTAAATTAAGATGTTATTTGTAAAGTACAGGGCAATCACTAAGAAAATAGCACACACAAAAATATAATAACAGAAACAGCACAATAATTAAAATACTTATTTAATACAAAGAAGGTGGTTTTGAAGAAATAGTGAAACAGAAAAGACATAAGGCATATTTTTAAATATGCAAAATGGCTATTGTTGCTGTGTTAAGTGCCGTCAAGTTGGTTCTGACCCATAGCGACCCTGTATAGGGTTTCCGAGGAGCAGCTGGTGAGCTTGAACTGCCAACCTTGCAGTTCAAGCGGCTTTGCAGTCTGGCGCATTAGCCCACAACACCACACCAGGATTATCAGTAATTACAACAAATGTGAATACTCTAACAATAAAAATGCAGAGATTGTTTAACATTTTCCTTTGCAAATTCTTTTAAAAATAAAAGTCCCAAGTCTTTTTTTCAGACTGTATAAGTTTATTTTAATCATCTTTTAGAAAAGTCAAACACATTGTTTTTGGACATAATCTTCTTGATTTTCAATACACTTTATCCGTTTGTCAACCAACTTTCATATTCCCTTATTTTAAAAAGTTTTATGCTGAGCCTTGAACCATGAATGCACTGTTGTCTTCACTTCAGCAACTCAATTTACAATAGCATCATAAAGAACAAACTGCAATGATTAGGTACTCAGTTGCTAACCTAAAGGTTGGAGGTTCAAATTCATCCAGAGGCTCTGCAGGAGAAAGACATAGGGATATGCTTCCATAAAGATGACAGTCAAGAAAACCCAATGGGATAGGTCACCTCTGTCACGTGGTGTTGCCGTAAGTTGGAATCAGCTTGACAGCACCCATCAACAGCACAGGATGGCTATACTTTTTAAAATCAGATAAAAACAAGAGTTGATTCGAATGTGAATGTCAGCAATTTAAACTCAGTGTCGATCCTTAGAAACCATATGCAGGGACTCTGTGAGTCAGAACCAACTCAATCACACTTAACAACAACATACATATTCCTAAATTGCCTTCCTTTATCACATTACAGTTTTCTGAGCAATGTTATTCACTCCTGTAGAATTGAGTATTGTTAGTCACCAATTCTGTACAGTTATCCTTAACTTTTCTACTGAACTTAAGTTTGCCCTTAAACTGTGGACAGCCCAGTCAAGAATGCCTCAAAACAAGCATGCTTTAAAAGTAATTTATCTTCATATTTCTTCCTCTTCTCTTCCTCTGATGAAAAGTTCTTATTGGGAGCCATTCCTCATTGGCGGTTGGTACCCTTTCTAGCTCTCAACACATTGCAAAGTAAACAAGACTGTCCTACCCCAAGTCCAGGAAATTACTGTTTTCTCAAGCTTAGGTTACCAACTCTGACCATTGTCTTTAGTGATAGATACATTTTCTTTACTGTATCACACATGATACAGTACCAAGAGATTTTTCATTTCATTCCACTGTTAATAATGCTTTAATATGTACTTAGAGTTATGGACATATACAAAACCCAAACCAAACCCCATGCCATTGAGTGCATTTTGACTTATAGTGACCCTGTATAGGGTTTCTGTGGCTGTAAATCTTTTTGAGAACAGAACGCCATATCAGCTTCTCACAGAGTAACTGATGAGTTTGAACTGCTGACCCTGCATTTCACAATCCAGCACTTATCCTCATTTATGGACACAGTATAGACCAAGGGGGGGGGGGGGGCAGGCAGAAAGAGACTCTCTCCAATAAACTCTAAATGGTCAATAGAAATGTCTCAATTTTCTAGGGCTGTCATTACAAAATACCATAAAGTAGGTGGCTTTAAGGAACAGAAATTTTATTTTTGCACACTTCTAGAGGTGAAAGGAATCCTGGTGTGGCACTGCGGGTTCATGCTCCAGATTGCAAAGCTGTTTGAACTGCAAGGTCAGCAATTCAAGCTCACCAGCTGCTCCAAAGAAACCCTATACAGGGTCGCTATGGGTTGCAATTGACTCAACAGCATGTCATAACAACAGAGGTGAAAAGTACAAATTCTTTGTAAGCAGGGCTATGATATCTCTCTCTCTCTCTGTCTCTCTCTCTCTCTCTCTCTCTCTCTCTCTTCTCCAGAGAAAGACACTTTTTTGTCTCTTTCAGCTTTCTGGTATTCCCAGATATTTCTGGACATTCATTACTAGGCTAGTAGGTAGATCTTCACATGGTATCTTTCCCCTTCATATGACTCTGTTTCCATGTCTGTCCACTATAAGTCCCATCATAAGACTACACTAAGAAGGGATGAGGATTAGAACACATCCTTCTTCAGTATGACCTCAATTGGCCTAACTGATAGCAAAAGAAAAATACATTTCTACATAGTCACATTCACAAGAACATGGAGGACTATACTACACTCAACTAAAATTGAGTATTTTGTATAGAGGCAGGACTCTGACTCAAGCCTTGTGGTAAAGAAGGACATTATCTCAGTTGAACAAGAGGACATAACCATAATAAACATCTGTGCTACCAATGAAAACACCTTAAAATACACAAATCAAACTCGAATTGAATTGAAGAAAGATATACTACTGTATAATAATAATAGATTTTAATATATCACATTGCATAAAAGACAGAA